TGCTCAATTTCCTCATCTGTAAATAGGAATAGAAACAATTCTCACCACAGAAGGTTGCTGTGAAAATTAAAAGAATTAATGTAAAGCAGTAAGAAAAGTTCCTGGCACAAAGTAATTGCTCAATAAATAATAGCTATCAGCTGCATGAAGGAAAAACTAGTATGGAGACTAGTTAGGAGGTCAAGAAATAGTCCCAGAAAATAGGGATGAGAACAAAGAACGGTATGTTCACTTGAGTGCCTGAGAAGATCATATACAGGACATGAGACATACAGGGGGAAAAAAGGAAGAGGAGAATAATGCCAATGAATGTAACTCTGGACATGTTAGGGCTGAGATTCCTACAGAATATGAAAGTATAAATGTCTAAAGGTCACTGGAAAATACAGATCAGAAATCCAAAAGAAAGGAAGTAACTAGAGATATAGATCTGAGAGTTACTAACATGTGGCTGTGTTGGGTGAAGCTGTGGTAATGGAAGAGAATACTCAGGGAGAAAGAATAAAACAGAAGGGTTGTAGGATCTAGTCCATAGGACCTGGGGCTCCAGGATCACAACAGCATCCACAGGAACTCCAATATAACCATCAATTGTCAGGAAGATAGAGAGGAAAAAACACAGTCATATGAAATAATCCCTTCCTTCAAGAAGTTTTCAATGTCATTAAGGAGAAAAGACATACACCCATTAAATAATTTTATCATGATTGTTCAGGATTAATAAAAGTAAGGCTAAAAGCAGAGGTGGTAGACATTAGAACGGCAAGAAAAGAAAGAGAAATTAAGCTGAAAATTGAAAAAACTAATGCTAACATAAAGAAACACTGGCATAGAGGAGAAAGCTAATTCTAAGATGGGGGAAGGAAAGGAGAAAATGAAAACTATCATGTATTGAATGTCTACTAATATGCCAGTAGCTGACTTAGGATCTTTCAAGTATTTTATCTTATTTCATTCTCAGAATATCCCTATGAAATAAATATTACTGCCATTATACAAAAGTAGTTTGAGGCATACCAAAGTAATTTGCCCAAAGTCTTACATCCAGTTATGGGCATATGACAGTGTTAGGACTGGAACCTAGGTGGAGGACCCATGATTATCCACCATACTTCCACTTCTCCAACTGGCAAAAATAGGACATGTCAGGAAAGGGGCAATAAAAACTGTACTAGAAGAAAACCTGAATTATTAATTATTCTCACTTATCTCACTACAGTAGAGCTACCTTTTTGAAGAAGTATGAAAGGGGGAAAAATGACTTTTTAAAAATCAAAAGTAATCTTTCGGGGCGCCTGGGTGGCTCAGTTGGTTAAGCGACTGCCTTCGGCTCAGGTCATGATCCTGGAGTCCCGGGATCGAGTCCCGC